GAAATCAGCTGGATTCAGTCACTCTTGCTTGAAATAAGGATCACCATTGACAGCACTCTTGTTATATGGGTGGATAATCTAGGAGCTATTGCATTGGCTTTAAATCCTATACTTCATGCTAAGACAAAGCACATTGAACTTGACATACATTTTGTTAGAGATAAGATAGAGAAGAAACAAGTGTTTGTTCAACATGTTCCTTCTTGTGATCAGCTAGCAGATATATTTACTAAGCCCTTAAGCTTGCAATCCTTCACTCGGCTTAGAAGTTCCTTGGGAATCTGTGATCTCACCTCGCTCGAATTGAGGGGGCATGTTAGACAAACTTATCAGCCCACTATGGAGCAGCCCACTATGGCCCATGCAGCAGCAGCCCAACGTGACGTACAGTCCATGCACGTATCATTAGCACGTGAGGAAAGTGCAGAGAAGAAGACAAATGCAACGGCTAATTCCAGCTGTGGTGTACTTGAGCAATCTCAGCCCTTGATGACTCTTGATTCCTTAGGATATGTGTATGGTTTAGATCAATATGATGAGTCATTCTTGTACCTCTCGATTCTTATCCAACCAGATCTGAGAATGCATTAAATATGAAAGCAATGTAACAGTTCTATCATTAAGAAATGAAAAACGTCTTCTTCATGATGCTATCATATTTTGGATCTATGTTCATAATGATTCTGCTGCTTTTCTATCAATTGACAAAGAATGGGTTGCACATAAATACGTGTAGTTGTTCAATTATTTCTATAGGACTTGTACGTCTAGACAAAAAAAATAGGCTTGGATCATCCATGTTATACCACAAACACTTGAACCGCTGGACCGCTCCTCTTCGAACCGGGTTACGTCTCCTTGATCGCCGGAACCTGCAAAACACGCCGGGGGTGGTCCCGACGCGAATACTCCGACGCTCAAGTCAGTGGTGGTCCGAAGGAAAAACGACAGAGTAACGAGAAAATTTTTATGTGTGTGTTGTGTAAAAGAAATAATCTGCGCCCCTTTTATAGATGAAGTCATCTAGAGGTTGAAGAGTTCTTGTCATACTATGAGTCTTCATCT